GCCTAGAAAATGAGACAGTAGTTAGAAAATTCACACAGTAGATCATTTAACATTGATGCACCGTGCTCTTGCTGGTGAGCCAGACCTGGTGTGCTAAATCCGAGCAATTATAAATAGGAAGCAGCTGCTCTGAGAACTATCAGCAGATGCCACCAGAAGGCAAATGGATTTAAAAAATATTCAGGCTAAGATTAAGATACATTTAGAGAGATTCTGCATAAAGGACCCAATCTAATTCCAATTTAAGTCAATAAAAAGACCCCCATTGACTTAAGTGGGAATTGGAGCAAGCTGATAGTGCGGGGAGGAGCCAGCGAGAGACTGAAGCCAGTGCAGCAGCTGCAGAAAGCAGTTCAACCAGGAGCCCATAGCTACTGATGATGGCATTAGTAGAACTGCGTGGGAAGCGGTTTTCCTAGCCCATGAATATTTTCAAGATTTTGGAAATGTTTCCTATTCTGCATCGAGATGAAACCGAGACCTTCTAAAGTTATTTGATAAAAAAGAGAGATAGAGAGAGGTGAGACACAGACACGACTTGCTCCAAATCAAGCAGATCAGGGACTTGAACTCATGTATCCCAGGTGCAGGCCTGCTGACAGCAATGCCGGGCCGCAGGGCCCAGGGTGGAAGCGATGAAGCCGTCACTTCTGGGACCGACCCGTCACTTCCGGGACCGACCGCACTGGCCAATTGCGCCGGCCCCCCTAAAGCGTGGGGCCCGGAGCAGTTGCGTACACCTAGGAGACCTGAGGCCTGCCCGGGCGATTTAAAAGGGCCCACGGCTCCCGGCCGCCCCCGCGGTAGTGGTGGCAGCCAGGGGCCCCTGGGCCCTTTTAAATGACCAAGGCCCCTGGGCAATTGCCCCCTTTGCCCCCCCCCAGTCGGCGGGCCTGCCCAGGTGAGTACCCAAACCACCCGGCTATTGGCTATCTTGGGTGGCTCTCCCTCCCGTCCCCTCCCCGCCCGCCATCTTGGACCTGAGAAACCTTCCTGACAAAGTTTTGTCAAAACTGTCCCTTTCCTACAAACTATTTTGGTTTTGACAAATTGGCATTTTCCAACAAAAAAACATTTTGTCAAAAAAGTCTCCACCAGCTCTAGTCATCAGATTGCTTTCTGCAGTTTTCCCTCTGAACATTCACTCCACTGTGTTGATTGGCTGTTTGCTTCAATCCCCACTCTTCCTTTGTCTTTCAATCTAAGGGCTGGTCTACACTGCCGCGCTAGTTCGGCGGCTGGGGATCGAAGTTCCGAGTTCGATTTATCACGTCTGGTCTGGACGCGATAAATCGAACCAGGAAGTGATCCCCGTCGACTGCGTACTCCAGCTCAACGAGAGGAGTACCGCGGAGTCGACGGGGAGCCTGCCTGCCGCGTGTGGACCGCGTCTGAACTGCGGTAAGTTCGAAGTAAGGTATGTCGAATTCAGCTACGTTATTCACGTAGCTGAATTTGCGTACCTTACTTCGACTTTGGGGGTAAGTGTAGACCAAGCCTAACTAATCCCCTCCTAATATAAGCCCATCAAAACAATTTACATAATAAAACAAAAGCAACAAAAATATCCTGGGACTAATGTGATGTTTGCAGCCATCATACTGTTCACTCTGCTTGCATGTTACCCTTTTCCCTGCTCCTTTGTTTGATTTGTTCACTTGGTCTAGTAGTTCTCAACCTGCATCCCATGGGCCACTTGCGGCCCAATCAGCACACAGCTGCAGCCCATGTGACATCCTCAGTGCCATACAGGTAGTATATATTTTTTTTGTGGATGCGGCCCACATAACACATAGAGAGCTGCATATGCTGCCCACAACGGTAAATAGGTTAAGAACCACTGACTTAGACGGTAAGCTCTTTGGGGCAGGGACTGTCTCTTATGTTTGTACAGGGCCTAGTGCAATGAGACCCAGTTCTTGATGGGCTCCTAGGCACTACTGTAATAAACATGGTAAGTAGTACACTAAATAATGCTCAACTACGCTTTTCTATTTAAAGCGAACGTGGACTGTGGAAAAATATTTCTTTCGAAAAGAAAAACACTGGTAAATATATGCCACTTGACTGAAAAGCCCATGCAGACTGCTGGAACCAACTTCACCCCGGCATAAATGGGTGCAGCTCCCCTGACTTCAGTGGAATTGTGTCTGCATAGGGCCCTGCAAATTTGGCCCATTTTGTTTTGATTTTGCAAAGTCATTACTTCTGCTCTATGATTCCTTGCAGCAGATTCCCCTTACAAATGCTTCCACTAGAAAAAAAATGTGGCTTCATAATATCTCTTTTAGCTTTTCAGTGCAGAACACATAATTAAGTTGTTATGCATTAGGGTGACTAATAAAATCACAACATTTATCAGTGCAGAGATTTTACAGCATTCCATTAAACTTTAAAAAAACCACCTTGATTTCAGCCAATGTTAAAACTCTTGGAAGCATTCTTGCATCTTTGGGTGCAGTTTATAGCTCCTTTAAAATTAGCACATTAATAGGGTTTTGCTGACTACATTCTGCATTAAAAAAAATCTCAGTTTAGAAGCAGCGTAAGAAAGAACATACTAAATTCAAGCTGAGGTAACTGCTCTGAAATATGATCAATTAAGACACATCTGCTTGTTCTATTTTGTTCTAGAATGTTCAAGAGCTGAAGGAGGCAGAAAAGTTATTTGAAATCTGGACTTGAAGAGACAGTCTACTACAGCAACAATGCTTGCAAAAGAAATCTCCCTCAAAATGGTTGCATGATTTTAATTTTTTTTATTTGTATATGTTGCCTTAACCATGAAATTAGTGTGCACTCAATGTAGTTATCTCTATTTATTGTTATTTGCATAACTTATGCTATCTATTTTTGACATTGCAGACTGTCACAAGAGGATAAGAAATTTGAGTAAGGGACAAAATTTCTAAACAAAAGCAACAGCCAAACACTCTATTATACACACAGACACATGTTCTTCGATAATTTCTAAGCCAGTGCATGTGTCCTTAAATCACATACTTAGATTGTTTTTCATGCAATTGTTATTATATATTTTTCTGCAATTAATAACAGTGAGATAGAAAACTGATTTCCAAAAGGCGAAAAGTCTTTGATTTCAAAGGTTTGTTGCAGAATATAAGAATACATACTGTAGTGAAAAACGGATACATACAAACTTGTCTTACACTACTAAACCTAAATATCCCTCATTTGTCTTACTGTAGATATAGCTGTTGCACTAAAGGTTAGAGTTTCTACCCAGCACCTGGCATAATTGTCTGGGCCAGGTGCTTGGAAGATGCATAGGAAATTGTGGGAGGAATCTCTTCACACAGGCCACTGGGTCACGGTTAAGCTGTTAGTAATACCTACCTCTTATGCAGCACTTTTCATTCATATATCTCAGAGTGCTTTACAGAGTATCATTATCCCCATTTTACAGAAGGGGAAACTGGGACACTGAGAGAGGAAGTGATTTGCCCAAGTTGACCCAGCAGGCAAGTGGCAGAGCCAGGAATAGAATCCAGATTTCCTGTGTCCCAGGCCAATGTTCTATTCATTAGGAAATACTGCATCCTCCATGAAAGCTGCTCCAGCCTAATGACTGAGTGCACTTCGTGGCCCCTTATGTGTCTCCCTAAATTCGCTATAGATGAAAGATAGGAGGATCCATACAGATGGACACCCCCAATTTTGCCTCCTCCAGAATCCTGCCCCTACCTGCTTCCTGCATGCTCCCAGACACAGAGCCCCCATGGAGCTGTGCTCCACACTGTGCATCTGTGTATCCCCCAGAACCTCACTGCTTTGTGGACCCATCCTAGTCCTGTTGCCAACGGCTGTGCCTGCACCTCTAAATCCCATGCTGGTTCTGACAGCCAGTTTTATGAACTGAAATAACTAAATAGTGTAGTTAATGTACAGTAGGAGACTTAGAATAGAAAGTGGACTAAGGTTGTGCTTTTCATGCAATGGAATTCCAAAGTGCTTCACAATGCATGCAGAAACAAAGAGCAAGCAGTACCCAATCAGTGAAACTAAGCCTGAGTCAGAAGACACAGGGCTTGATTCACCACTGTACTACTTTAGTTTCATGCCAATGTAACTCCATTTAAATTAAATGAAAACTGGAGTAATGCAGTGGTGAGTGAGACCCATAGTTTTTATTTACAATTAAATGACTGACTCAGTCAGATACACTTCCTAAATATGAAGTGCATAAAAGCCCAATACATATGTTTGAAACAGCCAACACAAAGGCTTTATATCATCTCAAGCCATTACTGGGCTCATACAGACGAACAGTTTTAATAAATGGATCTGATTTTAATACTACATGATTGATTAGATAGATAGAGTCCAAATTGTGCTGCAAGTTACAAAAGTTCTTAAAGCAACTTTATGATAAACATGGGATGAAATCCTGCCTCCATGAAGTCAATGGCAAAACTCCCATTCAGTGGGATCAGGATTTCACCCAGCATATTTAATTAGATGCCAATATAAGTTTCAGAACTGCAGTAAAATACTGAGCCTCTGTTTTAAGAGTTGAATTTCAAGCAGTATTTGTCACAAGTTCAGTCCCCCCCCCCCCCATCCTAGCATCAGATGAATTATGGCCGCTATTTTAAAACACTTATTTCAAATGAGAAGTCTGTTTCACTTCAGAACAGCTAATGCAAATGTTCAGTTATTTAAACTGATTTTTTAGACTGGTGGTTGGCAAAGAAACATTTTTTTGTAATCCCATCAATTGCATTTAAGATCATAGTATTCAAAAACAACTTCACAGATTAAAGTGACTTTTGGCAAAAGAATCTGCAGCCAGGATGAAAATGTTTATGAGGAATTTTAGACCGCTATGGTCTGTAAAAGCTGAGAGTAAAAATCAGGGCATAGCATATAACATCACATATTAAAGATTGTTTAAAATCGCTTGAATGCTGATTACAGATAGTTTAAAATCTTTATTTAATACATTAAATCATGCATTGGCAGTAAGACAACAGACTTACCTGTGAAGAGCTTCTGTGATAAGCTGAGTAATGAAGTGGTCCAGAAATAGTAGTGTCATGTGATAGAGATGGATATTGACTCTGCATTGGATAAGGGTGCTGGTTGCTATAGCTACCATAGTTGTAGCTTCCTGTGTACCTAAAATGCATGAAACCCCCCCACACACACATTTAGTACTAATAATAACGGCATTCCAGCTACTAGTTCTGTTGTAGTTTTCTAATGCTACATGCCAGATATATTTGCATTTGTTTCCATAGGAGAGAGATGCTCTGAAGAACAATCTGTATGAAGATTTACCCCAACTCAGCTCGAAGATGCAGATGTCACTTAATGGAATTATGTGCTCTACACAAATAGCAAATAGAGTGACTCCATGTGTCTGTGTGATTTGTAATCAGTCATTTGTAGTGCTTTCTAAGGGTCCAGTTTGGCCACCTTTACTGGTGTTCCATAGTCCCCTGTTCTGAGTGGTGGTTCATGGAGCTACTCACACAATGAAATATTATTCAGCATGAATGGTAGAACTGGGCCCTGAGAGCTAAACTGTTAAATGTAGCCACAGCCTTGCACTGGGGCAACGGGTGCTCCCCACTTATGATGGGGTTGGTGGAGTAATTTGCTACTTCCCTTTAAGGGGTGCAGCATACTCTTCCTGTGGGGCTGAGCAGAGGGGCAGAGTCATGGCTCTACCTACTCCCCTTCTCTTCCTACCCCTTTTTTGGGGACAGCTGTTCCAGCACAGGTGGGGATGGGGGCGGGAGAAGCCCCTGCACTTTTCTGAATGTTTCTGGTTAATCCTTAGGTGGGTCACACAAGAGGGGAAGGGATGGAGACTCTTTACAGTCTCCCTGCCTCTGCATGGCCATTTAAATGCTAGATGCTAATCTAGCTCGAAAGTACTAGGTTTTAAAAATGTACACGAGCTAGAAGTGGTACTGATATAGGGATGGAGGGAGGATGAGGCTCATTTACATTTTATTTTTATTGATTTTTAACATCTTTTAAACAGATTACTATAAGGTGCACATGGTAGATCTAGAGTCTGGGTACATTTAACCATCTCCCATTAGTCTTCAATATAGCGCTCTAGAGATACTGCGCTATATTGTAAACCAGACAAACAAACAGGTATGTTTATAAATGACAGCAGGACTCCCAGTCTGAAAATGATTGCTTTCAAAACCCAGGGCCAGAGGCCCCTCTTCATTCAGAAGTGTGAGGTGGAGCAAAGCAAGGGGGAAGAGGATGGACCTCAGTGGGACTCAAGCATGAATAGGGAGGTTTTCCATAAGGGGGACCGGTCCATCTGGGAGGCTCGGTGGGTCCTCCACTCTCTCTTAATTGGAATGGAATAAATGTCCCAAAGAGTCAAAGATGTTAACATGACCCTGTCCCTATACAACATTAAACATGATTCATGGTTTTGAGTGCAGAGACCTTGCCCTGCTTAGCCCCATGGAATCAACCACCATTAAAAAGTGTTTTAAACTTTTATTAAAGCCACAGAAAAAGAAGGAAGAACAGTGAAAGCATTTGAAAGGTAATGTATTAAAGGAAGCTTTTCTTCATTCCCTTTAGCTGTAGAGTTTTTAGCAAACCCCAGCCTGACAGTCTTTGAGATGGTATTAAAGATGTAATAACTTTTTGGAGGTGGGGGGGAGAGAAAAAGATAGTTGAAATGGGTTGAAGTTGCTGTTGTTGTTAAAGTCCAGTTCTGGTCCCTTTCAAAACAAAACCAGAAAAACATATACGAGGGGAGAGAAAAGCACAATGAAGACATTAAGTGCAGCTTCTGTTTCTGGTGCTAAGTCTTGCTTGTAATCTCACTCCTAAAGAAACCTGGAGCACACAGTCCTATCTACCACTCCCAGACCTGGCAAGCTATTCCAGTGTTGGGCTGTTTAAGGCATTGCTTTTATCTGCCTCTCTGGTCGTGGGCTCACAGCAGTCTTGTGAAAGATACAATCTTAGTCAGCTAAGCCAGACTCATTTTAGAAGGCAAAAAGAGAAGAAAGAAAAGAAATAAGGTGAGGAAAGGAAAATGATATTCAAGGGAGGGCATGACAGCTACAACCCAAGTCTCACATCCCAACTGGTGTTTGGGATTTAGCCTGGTAGAGGTGATGTCAACTGTGTCCCTCTCTTTGGCTCAGTGTTGTCTGGGCATCTGTCAGGGTCAGGTCAATGAAGGCCCAGGGGTGTCAGGGTGGGTTCCAGGAGAAGATTGGGGTGGCAGCCATGATGGTAGAGCTCACTCCTTTCAGTCCACCTGTCTCCAGCCCTCGTGTTTTGATACCCTTCCCCCCTCCAAGTCTCTTTTTAATGACCCCAAAAGGGGATGACAGGAATAATAGCTCATCCCCTCGTTATTGTGTTTGCTATTTAGGCCTGCTTGCTGGCACACCAAATTTGGTCCATTAATTTTCAATTCCATTCTCTTGTTTAGTGGTCATGATTTCAACACCGTTCTTGGGTGGTTTCAGTAGACCTTTTGGACTGGACTCATTTATTCTATCTCCTTTTTATACCTTTTTCCAAACAATTTTATAGAACAGTCTGAATTGGACTCTTGCTACCCTGGACAACTTAGACTGTAGGCCTCTGCACAACAACTCCTCCCAATGGCAGCATGACTCCTCCTGCCATGCCTGTGCTCTATCTCTGGGGCAGATAATGTCAGTCAGACCAGCATTGCATTTCTGCTCAGTGGTGCATTAAGCATGTTCCTAGGACAGCATGCTGTATATGGTAGCAGCTCCCTGTCCCTACCCTCACTCCTCCAAACTCACATATTTTCAACCATGTGGTGTAAGGACAGGCAGGGGCATGCCATGGAGTTGTCAACCATATTTATTCTACTGCAACCCATCTTTGGGGGGGGGGGGGTCTTTTTGCTCCTTGCTCCTCTTTGCAGGGCAGCATGAGGCTCAAAGCCAACAACAGATTTTCTGGTGGTCAGTGGTAAGCCTTGGCTTTCTTATGTCATTCTATGGTGCAGTCTCTTTTTGTGGAAGGTTTACACCCACCATTGGTCAAGTCTGTCCACAGTTTAGAAATGCTCTTGGATTCCTTTCTGAGGCTAAGAAGTCATATATCAGCATCCATGAGTAATGATTTCTACCATCTCCAGTTGGCTTGGAGATTATCTCTTGCTGGTGGACGACGACCTGGTCTCAGTTATTCCTGCCTTCGTCACTTCTCAGCTGGACTGCAGCATTGTGACGTATCTGGGCATGAAGCCTTCAGCGCTCAGGAAACTTCAACAGCTACAGAATGCTGCAGTACATCTCAGCAACACAGGCTACTGCAAGCACATCACACTTGTCCTCCACTCGTCACACTCGCTTCCCAAAGAATTTCAATTTGAGTTCAAGGGCTCGGTTCTTATCTTCCAGGCACACAATGGGCTGGGCCCAAGGTATCTAAAAGATTAATTAAAGCTCCAGGATGAAGATTATTCCACTCCTCCACAATAAGGTTAAACTTGTCTGTACAGGAGAAAGAGCTTGGGGCCAAGATCGTGGAATGATTTCCCCCAAGAACTAAGGACCATCACACATCTCACGACTTTTCACTCAAAGTGCAAGGTGCATTTTGTTGACCTTGATTTCTCTAACATAAATACATGACAATATGTATAGTAAATGCCCACCAACCAACCATCCCCCTAAGGAGAGGATGAGAGAACAAGCCACATGTGTCAGATGTTAGTCAAGACATTTAATGCACTTCTGGAAGGTACCCAGATAATATGGAGATAAGGGCAGCATAAGAACCTGTATAGAATAGAATATCTTCCTCCCAATTCTTATTATATCTTCAGGGATACAGCATAGAAAGTAGTCTTACATTTGAGAGCTGTTCACAAACTGGGAACCAAATAAAACTGCCTACTGGGTATAGATACTGGGTATAGATGCCAGATACTCCTACCCCGCCCCCCAACACACACACACACACACACACACACACAGTTAAAAGAACATTATTAAGGTTGCAAAGTCAAGCACTTGAAAGTTAGGAAATGTCAGAATTTAGGTTGCCTATGCAACCTTAATTCAGCTCTCTTGTGCATGTGAATTATGATACAGTCTTTCATTACATGATCACATACTATTTCTTCCTAGGTTTTTAAAGAGAAAACTGAATACACGAAATTCCATCATGCTGCATCCTACTGACACCCATATGGGTCTTTAGCAGAGTTGGATCTTTTAGATCCACCGCACGGACCTCTGCCACTTGAGCTAACAGAGTAACTGATAGCAGTAGTAGGTTGTCATCCTCTACGTGGAACACCACAAGAGAAGGATGGGACAATTTCCCAGTGGGTTTCACAATTAACTCCTGATAGCAGTGGAATGGAGGGACTCAGGGCTTGCCTACATGGCACCAGCAAAGCACACTCATAAGCATGCGTCAATTCTCCAAAAAGGACCATATGTTTGGAGTTTAATGTTCCTACCCTACACACACCCACATCATATAGCATTTGAAAGCTATTTTATGCATGTTTAGATGAGGTATCATGTGGAGCTGTCAAGTGCTGCTGTAAGCCTGTAGGTGAGATGAAACAATGTTGCCCAAAATGAGAAAGTGTCATTTTTTGCACAGTTCCAGAAACACTGAAACATGACTATGACTACAGTTTTCACTGTTTAAGTTAATTTCAACATCTCAATGTAGTGTTCATTGGTCAAAGCTACCAAATGACAATATATACAAAGATTTGTATTGCTGCACAGCTACACCATGAATTTGGGGCTCGCAGTTTAATTGATCTACTACACCTTCATGATTCTGCATCAGTTATGAGGAGCTGTTCATCACTAGTGCTGCAAAAACTGAAGTAGAAAGATTCCAGGGTGGTGTGTTCATTCATTCCAAATGGAATTATTCCACTTCATGCTGGTGGAAATCTCATCCATGAAGGAGATGATAATATAGACATCAGCGCAGAGACTACTGATGGAAAGAATACCTTCCATTCAATGACTAGAGTGGCATTTTAAGAACAGTGTGCAGATAATCCAGCATCACAAGAAATATCACTGTAGCATGGAAAAGAAAAGTCACTCTCCCTGAGCAATCAGAGTCTCTTGTGCAGTGTGCAGCATTTAAAAAACCTAGAACAC